GGGGGAAGGAATGGTGCCCAACCACTTGGACGGCCGGGGATTGAACGCCGACCTGCATGAAGCGAAACCGTCGCTCTGGAATGGTGCCCAACCTCATGGACTGCCGGGGATTGAACGCTGACCTGCATGAAGCGAAACCGTCGCTCTATCATCCAGGCCAAGTGATTGGAAGACGGGGGAATTATATCCACCGTCTAATCCTTTTTTTCTCTCTCTCTGTGTAGCTGCCTTATGGTGCAGAAGCCTCCCTGTCTGCTCTCTCTCTCTCTCATCATCTTCATTACCTTACACTTGTTAAGGGTGTGATGATAGAGCAATTCCTCTCTACCATTCAAAGGGAATAAGGGAGTCATAACGGGGCATTTCCCTCCATCCCGTAGATCACTGCGTGAGCATAACGGTAAATTGAGCTGCTGCTGCTGCTGCTGCTGCTGCTGCCCAGGTAGTCAGATCTTATCTCCCCCCCCTCCCCCCTTCTCCCTCCTGAGCGCTCCCTCGGAGAATTTTGATGTCATTTCTTGTCGTTCATTATGATTCATTTCGCTGATGACACTCCGCTGTCCACTGTTATTCATACATGAATAATGGTCCTCCTTCTCTTGTGTCTGCTCCTCTTCCGACTCCTTGCCCTCCCCTGCGCTTTTTGGCTCCTCTTCCTTCTCTAGCTCCTCTTTTATTCTGGAATTTTGCCATGAGTTTGAGTACTTATGTATAATATATATATTCTCTGGGAGAACTTGCAATATAGTCGCGGTTAACGCCAGTATATTCAGCCTTATATAACCACGTGCCTGTGTCCTCTAAGCCTCACCTCTCGGTGACACAGGGATGTATCTTCATCCATCTGAGATGACACAGGGATCAGGAGACATCACTCTTCTTCACAGTTACTTCAGCTCAGCAAACGTCTCATTGGTGCTGGCAGCTTCCACATGAAGGTTCCAGATGACCTTCAGTAGGAAGTTGTTGGTGAGGTCAGTTGAACTGGCCTCACAGCCTGGCTGGAGTCATTGACCTGCCTCCAGAACCCTGTCTCTGTCTCTGTCTATCTCTCTCTCTCTCTCTCTCTCTCTCTCTCTCTCTCTCTCTCTCTCTCTCTCTCTCTCTCTCTCTCTCTCTCTCTCTCTCTCTCTCTCTCTCTGTCTGTCTCCCTCTCTCTCTCTCTCTCTCTCTCTTCTCTCTCTCTCTCTCTCTCTCTCTCTCTCTCTCTCCTCTCTCTCTCTCACTCTCCTCTCTCTCTCGAGTCTCTCTGCTCTCTCACCTCTCTCTCTCTCGGCTCGACTTTGACTCGCCTCCCTCCACAGCTCTCACCTCTCTCTCTCTCTCTCTCTCTCTGGCAGGGTATACGACACATCTAGGGTAGGTTGGAGCGAGTATATAGCCCTGACTAGTGAGATATAAGGCAGGCCGCTGGCCAGCACAGGGCAAGATAGGCCAGACAGGGCCGAGAAAGAACTGGTCTGCCTCAATACAGGTCCTTCACCTTGGCTCCTGGTGTAGCTGGGCCAGGGGCGACACACCGTGAGACCTGCTTCAGACACCTAGCTAGGTCACTGACTATCTCACACGAAGATCAGTTATAATATTTAAGCAGTAGTCATACCTTAGACACGGGGGGGGGGGCTCTGGTGCCCTATGCTGACCCTGACTGTTGATGTGTCTTCCCTGTGTTTATTGTGCACCCCATACTCGTCCTGTGAGTGGTGGTTTGTTGTGCACCCCATACTCGTTCCTGTGAGTGGTGGTTTGTTGTGCACCCCATAC